GCATTCTCTGCTAACAGCCCATTTACAAGGTACAAAGCAGTTCCCTGCAAGCCCTCCAGCATTTGTCTCCTCTTCTTCCTTTCTGGAACCCTTTGCTACACCCAAAACATGCCAGTGGTGTGGTCTAGCCAGGCCTCAAAGGATTCTTTCCCGGGGGCTGGCTGAACGCTCCCAGAAAACATACCCAAGTACTGGTACCGCAAGGTATCCACGCATGGCTGGATTGCCTGACTAACTGACTGGAGCCTGCACAGTCTGTCCAGCTCCAGACCCAGGTCTCCAGGTACACTGTCCACTGCCTCACCTTGTTGCTCCAAGAAGTGGAAAACACGACCATGAAACTCCTCACTGGAGCAAGTGGGCACAAAGACCACGTTCCAGCCCCCCCCCCCCGCCCCCCAGTGCCTAGGATTTCCCTTGGGACCAAAGCATAGTTAACTTCCTGGTCAAGCTCAACCAGGGCTGCAGTGGCATTATCCTCCTCACGAAACACTTTGCCAAGCACAGTAAAGTGGCCCATGGGCCGCAGGGTAGCCTGTAGGGACCCTTGGAATTCAGCTTCACTGCAGTCCTCCGGGATGCCCAGGATAAGCAAGCCCCTACAAACGCTGACACCCATCCACCTGCACCAGCCCTGGAGCATCTCCACCGCCATAATCTGAAAAATTAGCCAAACTCACACTAGGGGCCAGAAACAGTTTCCCAAGAAGCAGGTCAGGTTGGGATAGGAGCCTAGGCTAGGACTCAGGAAGACCATCCTAGCTCTCCACAGCCTGGAAACAAAAAACGGAGAGAGGAGGTTAATGTCCTCCCTACCCCTGTCCCTTCTCATCCACTAGTCCTAGAGCAGAGATTCTCAAACTGTGCTTCGTGACCATTCAGGGTCAAGCGACCTTTTCACGGGGATCTCCAAAGACCACTGGGAAACACAGGTTGTTTACATTATGTTTCTTAACAGTAGCAAAATTACATGTATGAAGTAGCCATGAAAATAATTTTTATGGTTGTGTGAAGGGGTCACCACAACACGAAGAACTGTATTAAAGGGTCATAACATTAGGAATGTTGAGAACCACTGCCTTACACAATGCTTCTGCATCCCACCCTGTGCCTCAGACATAGGCCTTCCCTAGCCCAGTACTTCCCTGCAGTCTAACCCAGGCAGGCATGCTGGTTGACACGGGGGTTTTCAGGACCAGTAATACCCTCCCAGAATTTGGTACCTTCTAGGAGCAGAATCCTTTCTCTTTCAATCCCACAGCAAGATGCCCTGGGCTGTTCTCCAGGTTCTTCCACCAGCCAGCTCCCTTGCTCTCTCTAGCACACTCACGCAGAACAGTGTACAGATGCTAGCATAACGCTTGGCAGCCTGGGACCTCCAGTGATGTCACCGGTTCAGTCACTGGTGACATCATCGGCTGCTGACCTCTCCCCCACGGTGATACATCTATGCCCCTGGCACAGGGGTCTCCACATAAGGGCACCAGGAATCTGTGTTGCCCCCTCCAGTTCTGTTTCCTGATCGAGGCCAGGGAGCAGGGACTCTGGGGGTTTTTCCCCTAGTGAGTCCCTACCTGGACCTAGTCTAGTGACAGAGCTGTGCAAGCAACACCTAGTCTAGGTAGAGTCCCTGAAACAGATAACACATGAGCCCACACACCCCATCCCACCACTCCCCATAGAGCAGTGCACCATCTGGGTGATGCCCATCCAAGTAGAAGGGGCTGCAGGCACCACTTTCACTACTGTGGGCCTTGCATGCTTTCCTGTGCTTGGTGCCAGTGGCCAGCTCACAGGAGGGTCCAGCACTGGCGGGCCTTTCCTGCTCTGCATACTGTATATCCAGGTTCTTGAAAAGCTGCCTTGGAGATTTGAAGCTCAAACCCTTAGACTGGTATCTTACTGGCTGTCTTTGGGCCAGTCCCTACTGCTTCTTGTCGCAGAACAGTTTAGAGTTTCTGGGAATTCTACCTAAATTCATACAGGAAGCACTGCGATGGTGGTGGGGTGTTCAACTTTTCCCTCCTTCCTGTGTCAATAGCCTTCTGGACTCTGAGACATAACTCTTTCAGTGTGAGGGTGGCATGGGTGGCCTAGATCCCAGAATCCTTCCTATGGTTTTTAACATCAGTTAGTCTTCCATCAGTCAGTCCCCAGCTCCACCCCCCAATATCTTCCGCTGCCTGAGCTAGACATCCACTCAGAGCTGTGCTATCCAGTCTTACCACTCTGACTTTCTGCAGTCACCAAGAGTCCAGGGCCACATGGAGAACATTTCTGCCAGTGAGAAAGAGGACAAGCAGGTTCACAGAAAGTTATGCCTCTATGTATTTTCTTGGCCCCATTTCTTTTCTTTGGGCATCACACTCCGGCCACTTGACTTTCACTACTGTAAAGGTTTTCCCAATGGTGTCCATCTCACTCACACTGCATTGGTTTATTATCAAGGACTCTATTTAGGCTTTTGTCATGTTGGAATACTCCGAGTACATCAGAGTTCCCATTTGAATGACCCTCAGTACTGCCACCAGCATTCTACCTGCCTTCCTGAACCTCTGGCAGGGAGGAAGGCTTTGGGGTGTTTGACCAAAACATGACATTTTTTAAACTAGAGCTGTATGCAAGTAGATATACATTAATCTATTATCTGCCATGGGGGGGGGCAACCCATGTCCTCTCCCATTAGCAGTGTGGGAGTGCTCATTTGTGTCCTACATCCCAAGCAGCCTTTCAGCCTTGACCATTGAACATCCCAAGGGGAGAATTAATATCTCATGCATTGACAAGTGTTGGTATTTCCTTAATAGGTTATGATATTGTGCATCCTCTAACAATTTCATCTTCCACTCTTGGTTCATCTTCTGTGAATCTCCTTTGCCCCTTCCTCATGCCCAGCTCTGTCCTACAGACAGGCCTGTTTTCAGGAGAAAGTTTCTAGTGTCAAACCTGAAAGTACTCTCATTGTGTACATGCAACCAATGCCCAAACAGGTTACTTGATCTCAAACTTGGTCTTCAGTTTGTAATGTGTGGTTCTCTTTCCTGCCCCTGTAATTTCTACTATGATTATATAAAGCCTGAAGGCAAGTGCTTCGGGAATAAGAAAAAAAATAATCTTTCATTTAAAACCCAACTTTGTCAATTGGCCTAAAATCACTCCCTTACTCAGCCTCCAAGTGTTGGGGACCAAAAGACCCCAGGCCAAGAAAGCTGGCCCATCCGCCATACACTTCTTATAAGAACAGTTTGCTCGCTGCACAACTAGCTGAGCTGCGGTCTAGCTGAGCTGCAGGTGTCAGGAGCGACTTGTTTTTTT